GCACCCAAAAAAGTATCGAAACAGCGTCGACCGAGTAGCGCCTCCCAGGGCCCGACACGTGAGGACCCTCAAATTTCGGTGTTTTCCTGGTGCTCGAAATTCTTTTCTGGTAGTCATGGCTAAAATAAGTTGGAACATCATGAGGCTTCGGTCGACTACACACAAGAGTGACCCTTGGTGCGCGGCTTTTTGGGGGGCCGCGGGAGGGCCAAACACAAGCGCGCAAGACGCCAGCATCGCATCGCGTTCGGCGATCGGGGACCCCTTTGGGCCCGCAACAAGGGTCACCCTGGCGGAAGGTCGAAAGGTCACTCTCCTGATTCATGTTACCCATTTGGGGCACATTGGGGCTTCTGGGCCGCCCCGTGTCCCATGGCAAATCTCCAACGGGTATTACCGCGCAAAGCCTTCATCGGCGGCGAGCGACGGGGGGGGACCTTCTCGAGAAGGATGAGGCCTTCTCAGAAGGCTGCGGGGCTTCTCAGAAGCCCTCGCGCCCCCGCTCGACCCTGGCAGATCGAATCGGCCCGAAAAGCCTTGAACAGAGAGATGGGGCCCCGCGGCTCCGGTCGTGCTCCTTCGCGGCGTCGTGTTCTCTGCCGCGCCGGGCGCCGGACTTCAGGGCTGGGTGGCGACGTCCGAACCTCACCCCCGCCAACCACCGACTCTCCTGATTCGATGGGAGGCGGGGGTAGGCTTCGGACTTCGCCACGCGCTCGGCGCATCCCGAACCCCTACCCCCGCCGCCCATCGCTTTGCTCGAGTCGTTGATCGGCGAGGGTGGGGTATACTCGGGAGCGGCCAAGAGGGGGGTGTCCAAGAGGGGGAGGTGCAAATCATGACCGGCGGCATGTGCGCGGCCCAGCGGGGGGGCCAGGGACGTAATGAAACAAGAAGAGGCGCCATGAGATCTGGGGAAACATCATGGCCCACGCCATGATATCCACCACCCCCTAGTCATCACCCCCCTCTTTTCCGCCCCCGATCTACGGACTTCGCCGCCGAAGGGTCGGCTTGGGGCCTTCGGCCCGGCGGCCGCCCAAGGGCGCGCGCGCGCCGCGCGGCCGAGGCCAAGGCCGCCGCTGCAGCGGCGAGGCGCCGCGGCAGCGCCGCGCAGGCGCCGCAAAGGCGCCGCCGCCGCGCCCCGCGGAGGCGCCGCGGAGGCGCCGCGGAAGCGCCGCGGAGGCGCCGCCGCAGCGCCGCCGCAGCGCCGGAGAGCCGCCGCACGGGCGCCGCGGAGGCGGCGCGGGACCCCGCGTCTGCAGGGAGCTCAGATGCCGTCGCCGAGCGCCGGTGCGCCCACGACCGCTGGGGCGGGGGCGCCCACGGGCGTCTCCTGCCAGATGGGTCGTCGTCGTCGTCATCGTCGTCGTCGTCGTCGTCGTCGTCGTCGTCGTCGTCGGTCGAGGGTCGAGGAGGAGAAGGAGGAGGGGAGGAGCAGGGAGCAGGGGCCCTGGTGTTGGCCCTCCTGGGGCGCCCTCGTGGCCACGGCCAGGTGCTGCATGCGGAACGCTGGGCAGAACGCGCCCCTGGGCAGGCGTGAGAATCGAGTGTTGGACCCCTGGGCCCGACTTGCCCCTGGGCCGACCTGTCGTTATCGTCATGACCGCCATGATTATCATCATTATCGTCATTATCGTCATTGTTGTCATCCTCGTCATGATTGTCACTCTTGTCACCATTACTGGCCACGTGCGTCCATCTACGCCCTGTAGCCGTCGTCGGACGCGGAGGAGGCGAAGGAGGTGGAGGGGGAGGAGAGAGGAGAGAGGCAAGCTGGGCGCGCTCGCGCCTTATCGGACATCCTGCCCCTCCCACCCGTCCCTTCCCCTGGCGCTGGTGTTTTATCTGTCATACGACGAGTTTCACGGCGACCATGGAAGCGCCCAACGGGCCCAGACGTGTGCATTCGCAATATAAGAACGGACGCTGCGTTTACATTGGAGGAGGAGATAACGGATGAGCGGGACATGAGCAGGAGAGAGAGAGAGAGAGAGGAGGACGAGGAGGAGCAACAACAGCATGAGCAGGGGGGCGACGCCGGCGAGGGAGCACTCGGATCCAGAAGCGTGGCCCGCGCTGGGGCGGGCGTGCCGTTCTGCACGACGGACGCAGAGCCCCGATCCTGACACGAAGCCCACACTGAAGCGGGAGCACCATGTTCGAAGGAAGGAGAGAATGTTCGGATGGGAAAACACAGAAGGGAAAACAAATCGCACCCATCCTGTGTAAAGGCCCATGCGCGGAGAGAGGGCGGGTCGCTCTCAGAAGATGTTCGGGGGAGCGAGGAGAGCAGAGCGACTGCGGAGGATGAGGAGGAGGAAGAGGAATGAGAGGGAGTTGGAGGGAGGCGCTGGCGGGAGAGAGGGAGGGAGGGAGGGAGAGAGGGAGGGGGAGGAGGGAGGGAGGGAGGGAGGGAGGGAGGAGGAGGAGGAGGAGGAGGAGGAGGAGGAGGAGGAAGGAGGAGGAGGAGGAGGAGGAGGAAGGGCGGAGGGATGAGGGGAGGAGGGACGGGGGGGAGGGAGGCGTGAGGTGAGGGGGGCAGGGGCGGTGCAGGAGGGGAGGGCGAAGGGAGGAGAAGGTGCGGGGGAGTGAGCAGGACTAGGAGGTGCGGGAGGCGGAGGAGAAGAAGGAGGAGGAAGAGAAGAATGAGGAGGAGGAGAGAGAACGAGGAAGGGGAGAGGGAGGAGGAGGAGGAGGAGGAGGAGGAGAAAGAGGGGACGAGGGGAGGAGGGAGAAGAACGGAGGAGGAGAAGGAGGAGGCAAAAGGAGGGGGGAAGGAGGAGGAGGAGGAGAGGAGGAGGAGGAGGGAGGGAAGGGGGAGGGTAGGAGGGCGGATGGGGAGGATGGGGGGATGCGCAGGAGCAGGGAGAGGGGGGGCCGGTCTCGAGGCCCCCCGATGACGCCCATCACGCGCGTCCGCCCCCGCGTCCCCGAGCTTGGCCGTCCGCCTGCAAAGAGCGACAGCTGCCTGCCAGCGCCGCCATCACCATCCTCCTCCTCCTCACTCCTCCTCCCCCCTCCTCCCCTCCTCCTCCGCCTCGTCCTCCTCCTGCTGCTGCTCCTCCTCCTCCTCCTCCTCCTCCTCCTCCTCATCCGCCTCCTCCTCCACCTCTGCCTCCTCCTCCTCCTCCTCCTCCTCCTCCTCCTCCTCCTCCTCCTCCTGAGGAGGAGGAGGAGGAGGAGGAGGAGGAGGAGGAGGAGGGAGGAGGGAAGAGGGAGGAGGGAAGAGGAGGGAGGAGGGAGGACGGAGGATGAGGAGAAGGAGAAGGAGAAGGACAAGGAAGGGGAGAAGCAGGCGGAGGAGGAGGAGGAGGAGGAGCCCCCAGAACACGCTAATCGCCAACAACCCTAACCCTCCCTGTTCTCCCTCTTCCTCGCCCGCCCACTCTCCGTTCACCCCGCCCCCTACTTTGCGGGAGCCCCCTCTGGAGGCCTCTGCAGGCCCCCAAAAAATCCGAAGGCGCTGAAAAACCTCGAATCTCGAGACCCGATCGGCGATCGACCGACGAAGTTGACGAAGTTGACGACGACGACGACAAAAACGACAACAAAGACGACGACGACGACGACGACGGCGACGACGACGACGACGGCAACGACAACGACAACGATGACGACGACGACGACGACGACAACGGCAGGGACAACGACAACACCACCGACGACGAAGGCGGCGACGGCGAAAACGAACGATGGTTACGGTCGACGACGGCAACGATGCCGATGTCGACGACGGCGACCACGACGACAACGGCACCGACAACGACAACACCGACGACGACGACGACGACGACGACGACGAAGGCGGCGGTGGCGGCGAAAACGAACGATGGCAACGATCGACGACGGCAACGATGCCGATGTGGATTACGACGACGACGACGACGACGACGACGACGACGACGACGACGACGAGCTGCCTACGTCCCCGAGTTCGCCCCGCGCCGGCGACGGCGGCGAGCACTGGGCCGGGGCCTCCTCGAGAGAGCGTCCGCCCAGGTCTGGCATCACGCAGCAGGAAAAAGCAACGGCGGCCAAGTTGATGGCAGCGAAGGCAAGGAACGCCACAGAACCGTCCGTCAGCAGCATCGCCCCGAGGTCCAGTCGGCCACCCATCAGGCTGCGGAAGATATCCGGCGGAGAGAAAATTCACCCAGCACCCTGGGCGACGCATTACTTGGTATTGCTTGGCATTGCCTTGCCTTGCTTAGCAATGCTCTGCCCTGCGTGGAATTGCTTGGCATTGCTTGCCACTGCTTTACATTGCTTTGCTTTGTTTTGCATTGCTGTGCGTTGCTTGGCACTGCTTACCATTGCTTGGCACTGCTTGGTATTGCTTGCCAATGTTTGGGAGTGCGTGTCGTTGCTTGACATTGCTTGGCAGTCCTTAGCAGGGCTTGGCAGTGCTTGGAGTTGCTACGCGTTGCTTGGCATTGCTTGGCATTGCTTGGCATTGGTTGGCGCTACTTGGACTTGTAAGGACACGATTTGTGGGAGGTCTTCGTGAAACGATCACAAGCTTTCAAGCCCGACTGAGGGTGCCATTCAGCCAGGTAAGACCTGATCAACCCTGGGGATTTAGCCAGACAGCCCGGATTAAGCCAGATTGACCGGGATTCTATATGACGGATCCGGCTGAATTTCGACAACGGATATACCGGCACCGATGCTGAATGGATCCCTGCAGAAGTTACATAGTAAGCATAGTCTTGCTTTGCCTGGCCTTGCCCAGCGCGGCTTGCCATTGCCTGCCATTGCCGGGCACTGCTTGGCATGGCGCGGACGCCACTGGGGCAACGCTGGGGCAGTCCGGGGCAACGCTGGGCAGCCCCGGGCATCGCGGGCGGGGAAGGGCCCCCCCGCACCCACGGGCTTCCTTCACAGACCGTATGAGAAACCCTGAGGCAGAGCCGATTCTGTGGGGACAAGCTGCCGATTCCGTACCACGGTGCTCATGTCGTAGCCTCTGGGGAACGTTTTGAATTTCGGCGTTTCGACGGTGGGCGGCGGGGAGGGGGGGGGAGGGGGGGGGGTCTGGCGCCGAACCTCTGCTTAGTGCGACTGTTTGCAGCACTGCGTCCTACGAGGGAGAGGCTCCACCTGCTCGAAGCAGGCGCCAAAAGCAGCCAAGATCTGCTCCCGGGGGGAGAGAGAGAGAGAGAGAGAGAGGGCCCGCGCCGGACGGCAAAAAAAAGAGTAAGAAAAGGATCACCTGGGAAGCCTGTTTTGGTTGTCCCTGGGCACCCATCCCTACAGGATGGCCGACTGACCGCGGGCATCGTCTCGAAGAGCTGCAGCAGCGCTATCTCGACCAGGCCCACCAGCGCGTAGATCTGCCCCGACCAGGTGGAGCGGACCTCGTTCGGCAGCACCTCCAGCGAGACGACGAACTGGAGGCTTCCGAACCCAACGTTCCAGCCGAAGATGAAGACGAAGAGGGCAGTGGCGGGTACGGCAGGCGGCAGCAAGCCCGGCATCGCCAGATGCACCGCCAGTGCCGCGTCGCAGAGCATGCAGCTGCAGCTGCCGACCACTGCCAGCACGCGCCGGCCCACGCGCGGGGAGTCCGCGCTGGCGGCCGCGATCAGCGAACCGGCCAGCTTGACCCAGCCCACGAGAGGCAGGAGGCGCAGCGGCTCCGCCACACCGCTCACCAGCAGGATGTCGAAGGCGTACGACTGCATGCCTGAGGGGAAGTACAAGGGGGGGCCAGCTCAGGGAGCGAAACATCGGGCCTAAATCCGGCGATACATCGACGATAGAGAGAGGCGATAGACCCCCGAGGGCGAATCCGCACGTTCCTGAACGGGGCGGAGCTGTCAGAGCCCTCTAGGCGATCCATGGGAGATCGAAAGTCGATGCGTTCGCCCCTGAGCCTACCCCTCCTCACCGTTGCCCCTGAACTCGAGTAGGGATCGACTACAGAATTGACTTACCCCAAAATTGATTTTCTCGTCGAATCCATGCATAATGCGTAACATGCTCGAACATCTGCGAGCATTCTACTGATTGTTCATGCACTCGGCAAGCAAGTCACTTGTGGGGTAAATCACTTCTGTAGACGATGCTACTCGATGAAAAAGCCTGAGATCCCGGAGGCGGCCGTGAAGAAGAAGAAGCACAGGGCCACCAGGAACGAGGAGGAGTGGGCCTTCCAGGAGGAAAGACGAGGAGGAAGAGGAGGAGAGACGAGGAGGAAAGACGAGGAGGAGGAGGAGGAGGAGGAGGAGGAGGAGAGACGAGGAGGAGGAGAGACGAGGAGGAGTAGGAGAGACGAGGAGGAGGAGAAGGAGAAGAGGGAGGAGGAGGAGGAGGAGGAGGAGGAGGAGGAGGAGGAGGAGGAGAGACAAGGAGGAGAGACGAGGAGGAGGAGGAGGAGGAGGAGGAGGCGTCCGCAGGAGTCCGCGCATCGTGTGTTGGCATCCGAGAGGCCTGCCACAACATACCATTTGTTTGCCAGTGTGGCTGGGACGCCGTACGCCCACCACGGTCTCTTCTTCATCACGAGGGCGATCTCGTTCAAGACGAGAGGCCGCCTGGAATCGCCGCAGGAGGAGAGAAAAGGCTGCGGCGAGAGCCTTGCTCAGGGTGCGAGCTGCTGCCGCCCTGCTGGCGGCCCATCACAGCGCGCAGCAGCCACCGCGGCCAGCCACACAGACTATGGCCGCGTCGCCGGGATGGACATGCGCGTGCGGACAGCACCAGGCAGGTTGGCTGTGGGATTGCTCATCCCGTGGGCGGCCTCTCGTAGAGCGGAGGAGACCGAGCAGGAGTGCCCCCCGCCAGTGGGGCAAGCCAGGCCCGCCAGCGCCCGAGGCTCGGCCCGGCCGCGACAGATCCAGCCACGATCGACAGCAAAAGAGCGAGACCACGGCCTCGAGAAGCAAGCCCACAGGCTAGTCGAACGGATTGCCCCTGCCCTGAAGCACTCTGCAGAAACGCACGACGGGTGGGGCAGCTGGACCCCCACGACGGATCGCAAGAAGCAGTACCAGTTCCGCGACAGGGTGAAGACCCGTCTCATGGCACTCGCCCGCCTGGCAACACAAAGAGTAAGAGCGAAGAAATCAGACGAGGAGCTCAAGGAGGAGATGAGCATGCTGAAATACGCGCTGGGTCAGACCAAGCCCTTGAGCGAGGTCAAAGAGGAGCAGGTGGCTCGGCTAGCATCCAAGATGGAGGATTTGAAGAACACCAAGTGTCGCATCGCCACATTGGAGGCCCAGGTCGGGGAACTCGAGTACGATATCGAGGACATCAAGACCGCCTTGGCGAAGACCGAGGCCAGGATTGCAGCCGAGCTCCACGACATCATTCCCGAGCCTGCTGGTGCCGAGACGGCGTCAGAGACGATGACGACGGCGCCGAGGGCAGCAGCCGCAGCACAAACGATCGCGGCGCTGCAAGAGCAGAACCGTCATGAGGCAACAGCGTACGCACAGCTGCAGTACCAGAACCAGCAAATGATCTACCAGATGCAGAAGATGCAGCAATCCGTGCAGCAGTTGCCAGGTGGACAAGCGCACCCTGTTTGACCGTGCCCGACACCAGATCCATAGCAGCCGCTGACCATGGGGATTCCTCAGCTCCAGATGCCGCCCATGGGGTTCCCTGTGCCGCCGCCGTGCTCGGCGGCCTCGGTGACGCAGATGGCAGCTGCAGGAACAGCGACAGCGGCGAAGCCACCAGATTCAGGGGTGAGCCAGACCGCGATGGGATCAGGGGGGTACAATCAAAACCCAAATAAGGACGCGCGGTAAGGACGCAAGACCCTTGGAAGCCGAAGTTAGGATTTTCGGGGCGGCTGACGACGAAAACCTCACGGACGCAAGAGCAAGGAAGAGCAAGGACGCAAGGATACCCTGAGCAAAGTCGCGCGTCCTTACTAGGGTTTTTGAGGGCGCACTGGGTCCAGGAGCGGGGGCACAGTGTCCGATACCAAAGGCAGCCGAGCCCACGAAGCAGTGCAGGGGGCAAAGCTGGTACAGCGGGAGCTGGTCAGAGGACCGCCGCCTTCACCGCGGCCAGCAGCAGAAGAAGTACGCGCGGCAGAGACGCCATGGGTGGATCCAGCATGACTGGCAACAACACAGCCGGCGGGACCTACCCAAGAGCCGCCACATCTGCCAGGACCAGGTGCGGACCAAATCCATAACCCGGTGTCGCAATTCGGTGGCAGGAGCAACGGAAAAGGCAGCGTGGCGTCGGAGCCGTACCCGACAGGCCGCAAGAAGGCAGCGGAGGGCGACCCAAATCCAGCAGCCCACAAGTGCTTCCAACTTCCAGCTCAAGTTGCAGGAACGCCAGCGGAGTCAGGAGGAGGCATGGCAGCAGCACCTACAGCAGCGACAGCACATCCTGTGCTACATTGACTGGTCGCCGAGTTCATGGTCACTGGCGCAACGTCGCCAGAAATATCTACAACGACAAGGTGCATTCATCTCCCATGGTAAATATGGAGAGCGACAATACCATGGAGTCTGACACCACCATCTTGGACGCCGTCGAGGACTCCAACATCGACTGGGCAAAGTCGATCAACACCTTACAAGATGAGGGTGCTCTCATGGGGCCGCTGCAAAGCCTCCTCACCCACGCCAGCCTCGAGGCGACAAGCCCGGATGACGACGCGTATCATCAGTCCAATGGGCAATTCGAGATTGCAATGCGACCCAAGGTGGACGCATGGAACAGCGAAGCCTTTTTGTGGCCCATTGAATCGGCACGCGTGGATTGGCTTGATTGGTGTGTCCCTACGGTTCGCCAAGAACTTCTTACCACAACAGCCATGAGACGGATCCAGTGCAATGATGACGCTATCGAGATGCGCAATGACTGGAGTCTGGCGCAGCTGGGCAGTGGCACGCTACAATTACAACCAACGTACTGCAGCCCTACTTACACAGGATGCGTCAGCACGGGCAGCTCATATGACTGAACAACACGCACGAATCACCCGTGCCAGGCAGCAGCTCACATCGAGGGCCCACGACGTGAATTGCAATGAAAATGTCGATGCACGGTTCAGAAGAGATGCGCTACTATCCACGAGTGTCGTGGCCACTGCCCAATGAGGCGGACCACTCCCTCACGCAGCTCGTGCGGATGCAGCACAGGACACACCGACGGAGGTTCCAGCAGCTGCAAAAGTGAAGGCTCAGCAAGCTGCAGCCGTGCAGAGCCCAGGGTCGAGCAATCCAGCACAACTCGGTTTGGGGCCATTCGTGACACCAGCGCCAGGTGCACAGCCCGACGACGATCAGGATAGCGACTTCGTCAATCTATACCGAACAAGGATACAGAAAACTGCAGGAATGCCTACGTTATGCAAATGAATGGAGCCACAGCCGAATGATATACACCCATTCCGTTAGGTCAACAAGCTGAGTTCCACGCACGGAGGGGACTGCTGATGGCAGTGCGTGACCGTTCCTCAGCATGGAACATTGGACACTCCTTATTCAGTGGCGGCTTTGCTAGGCGTGATTGGGTGGTAGACTGTACCCCATATGCCGCCAACATCTGCCAGTCCATCCCCGATCCTAAGCCAGATGTTCGACTCATTTCAAGAACTCATGCAAGCTGCACGTGACATGTGCGATCAAGCTTGGACGCGCGGGCCCCCACGTCGCAGTCAGCACGCCAGAAATATCACCAACATGGGGAGGGAATCGAATGGCGAGCGGTGGATGGAGGTGCGCCTCGCTCAAGAGGCTCTGCGCGTGGCACGCGATCGAATCGATCGAGCTGTTGGCGGACCTGGCCCAGACGAGTTCGATCACACAGCACCTGTGGAGGTCCAGCCAGGTCCCGAACCAAGCGGAAGGGCCGGATGCAACTCGCGAGAACGGTCGGCCGCCTGCGATGGCCGCAGAGCTGGACAGTGAAAGCCAACACGAGCCAAGAGGACCGGCAGGAGTGCACCACGATGATGCTCAAGATGGCCCAGTCCCTGCCAGATGATACCGCATCCGTTCTGCAACGCAGGGCCACGTCTGCACATTGGGGCCACGAGCAGATCTCCGAGTACCTTTACAACACCGAGGAAGGTGTGGACAGATACTCATAGGCTGCACGCGCGCGTCAGACCGCAATGAAATCCGAAATTCCCCCGCTCGCCTGCGAGGGGTCCAGCTGGGCCCAAGGCGCACTTCGCAAGCAAAAAGCTGGACCTGGGAGGCCCCTGGGCACGATAAACGCGGTCTGATGTGAGCCGGCCTGTTTTGTTGCGGCGGCTAGTGCAGCTACCAGCGCCGAGCCTTAACAGAGCGAACACGTTTTCAGCACTTGCGCAACCCACAGCGACAGGTCGGCGACCAGCCAGTCTGCAAGCGACCAGTGTTGACAGACAGCTGAGCACACCCGGGGGGGGGGGCGTGGGTGACTGCGCCACACCCACCCGTATTTTCCAACGCCCAGGCTGACGAGGGTCAGCCAGGACACAGCGCGTGCCGCAAGGATCACATCGCGGTGAACAAATGGGAGCAATCTGAGCCCGTGCCAGAGTACCAGCATCACCATCTTGTCACTGCCTTCCCGGTTGCCGCGGCGACCCAACGCAAGGCAGCTGATCGCAGCGCGCGGACCCGTAGCACGCCGGCGATCGCCGCTCTCCCCCCTGAGGGAGATGAGATGGCAGGCTGAAGTCGAACAGATCCTCGCCAAGTTGATGGCCCCAGTCAGGGCGACCCCACCCATGGGGCATGGCCCGGATACCCTGAGGGCGCGACGCCGCCTGACCACAGCCGGGAAGCGATGGGGTCCCGAGATCGAGCGCGAGGGGGCCCCCGACTCCATACCTCTCAAGAATTATGATGGCGTGAGGAGGAGGCTTGAGGATTGAGGATTCAGGATTGAGGAGGAGGGGGAGGAGGAGGAGGAGGAGGAGGAGGAGGAGGAGGAGGAGGATGAGGGTCGAGTATTGAGGAGGACGAGCACAAGGATCAAGGATCGTGGCATCTCCCCGCGAGCGGTGCGGGCAGCGGCGGCGACAACGACGCCGACGGCGGCGGTGGCGACTGCGGCGGCGGCGGCGAGCGCGAGCCTGCGCCCGTTGAGTACACTTGTAGAGATAGCGGCCCCCCTGAGAGCCAGCACAGCGAGCCCCCGTTGGAACCCCCCGCTGTTGCCCAGGCGCTGCCCTGCTATATC